TTTATGGCCTGATGGCCGAGGTGGTAATCTACCGCTCCTCGATCGATTTCGAACGAAAAATCCCAGGAATCTCATCTATGGTAAATCCAGGATTTGTCAGGTCTCTTTTCTCATGATTCATCACCCTGTCGACTCTATTGTGGTCCTAGCCGTACCCTCGATTTTTAATTAAAAAATCCGATTTACTCCATATGAAGTAACATCACCCAAAAAAACACAAACATATTAAATTTTAAAAAAGTATTTACTGTATTTAGTAAGAAATATCGAAAACGTAAAAATAAAAACCTCAATCCTCCTAATACACAAACTTTCTTGCAAAATTTCAGAAATTTTCGACAAAAAGCATAGGAGTTGTTAAGCTTCAAAGAGGGTGAACAAAATCATGCCCCTCCCACATACTAACATCCATACATACAGGGAAAAAAATTGAATTTTTTGTTTTCATTTCTCGACGTTTCAAGGTGTCCTGAGTCCAAAAATGTAAAAATCTGGGGAGGTCATTTTTTGACTGATCGCCGTACTTTCCCTCTGTTTTATATGACAGCACGGAAAGTAATACAGTAATTTTAAGTTGTTTATAATGTATTGATAAGTACTACATAAATAAATTTTCTTCTCGTAATGCGAACACAAACTGTGTACTGTACTTATTTTTTATAAAATACTGACACGACACATTAACTTGATAAAACTGCATAGAACGAACACGTTGTGAAAGACTTTACAATGTGTTCGTTCAATGCAAGCGACTGATTAAATGAAATACTGCTTTCTTCCCTGTCTCTTACGGAAACAATATAATTAAATTGACGATTTGAGGCTCAAGTTCTTCTAACTCTCTATTTATGAACGGTAAAAAGAGATAGATAGCAGTCCTTTAGAAATGGGGAGGGAATAAAATAAAAAATTAGTTATGTTGCCGTAGGAAAGCTAAATTTTCCGTTAAGAGTCATTGTAAAATAAAAGGAGTTAAAAGCCCTTTATTTTTCTGTACATCCTTTCTTTTTCCACAAAGGTAATTCATCAGTGTTCCAAGAAACACCGAGTACTTAGCAAAGGTGTCTCTTGGGAGCAATGGATGTCGATCTTTATGGGAATCAATTCTCACCACTTAAGGCTGTTATAGATTCTAGGAAAGGAGTCTGGAAAGGGAGGGCCCCTTTTTAGAAGTTTGCCGGCCCCTTTGTAGACCTTTGTAAACGATGATCGGTTCTTGAAAAAAAAAAATCCCCGGGATTCGACGATTAATCATAGACAAAGTCTCGATGGAAATTCGATTGAGGAGTGGATAAATATGAATTCAAAGCGATAGCTCTAAGATCGTCAATCTTAGATGATCTTTGATGAGACGAAGATTGGTGAAATATTTAGCACAGTGTCCTCGAGGGCGGATATTTTTAAAGGTTTTTGAACACCGACTATTCGCAATCACTCTTCCCATTCTCGCGATTAGTTGCTTATCTGTTGATAGGGCTCGAATTCGGGTCACATCTTTCTATCCGATATTATAATCTTATTTTTAAGTGTTTTTCATTACCGCGTCCGGGACTAATTGCCCCAATAAAGAAAATGTGTTTACTTAGACGTTCGAAAGGGAATCGCAGTGCTAAAAGGCTTTAAATGGCCCTCTCTTTCCAACTTTAGTGTCATAAAACACCTGGTTCAATTTATGGTTGTTGGGGAGGTCGAAATTAGTTTCGATTTCCCTCTCCCGTTTTTGGCTTATAAATATGTTTATTGTTTCGTTTTTACATCCTTTTTCAAAGAAAGAAAAGTATTATACTTTTTAATAAAATTATATTGATATTCTAAGTGTTAACTAGGTTTTGGATCACAATGCAAATAAATAAATAAATAAATAGTGAAATAATTGTTAAAATATACTTATTTAATGATTTTATATTGATATTATTTTTAAATCAAAATTTTAATCGATTACTTCAATCAAAGTTTCAATCATAATAGAATTTATAAGAATTTTTCTGTTCCTTATGTCACAGTTCAGTGATTTATCATAATTACTTCGAATCTGAACCTACCCACGCTGACTAACTCTTTTATTTATAAGACGTATTTGTAACACGAAAAATTAGTCAGTCACGCAATATATCGTGCATCGATGATTCACAAAACAAATCCGAATCCATTCTAATTCTAAATTCGTATCCACTATTTTAGCATTACATTGAATTGATGGAAGAATTCAACGCAAAACATGGGTGATCTACTAAAAGGTGTGCCTTTCTTTAAGAAACTATCCTTATTTAAGTGTTATACACACGAAGAAAACTCGGAAAATTATATATAGCCAGCCAATTGGTGAGGTGAGATCTCACAACCAGTGTTCTGTAGTTTTACCTACTCGAATATCCACTATTTTATCCAAAGTGTACTCTGATAGCCATCCTTTGAAAGTACTTCAGCCACCAGACATATCAATATACTGAAAGAAGAACAGTAGTATTGATCTTTAATTCAAATAATAAATAAGAATTTATTGAACTGCTGATCACATTAGAGCTCGTTCTTTCATAATGACACAACACCTCTCTATTTTTATACTTTTGTATAGTAATCAAGGTATTATCTGTTCGTAAGCACGAGTATGGCACTTTATGATAATGTGACCATAGGTCATTGGGCTGAAATTTGAAAAAATTGTAGACCTATAAACTTCCCTGTCGTCCGTTCGCATGTCTGTCTTTCCTTAATTAATGTCGAGAACGAAGTTAGATGAAAGACGAGACCAGATATGGAAACCTTATGGGTAGAAGATCCCGATTAACTATATACGAACTTCCGATGCAAACAGGAAGTCACGTTATTTCAATTCAAAAATTTCCCCCGTAAAGGTGTTAGATAACCGGAACGACTGTATTGTTAAAGGAAAGTATGATGTAAGGGGCAAGACACTACTAATTTGAGGTGGACAGCATATATTTTAAATTAAATAAATTAAAAATTGCAGCCTGGTATTGTGACGATGTCACAATAAATAATTGCTCGTTTCAATTATAGGAATAATGCTGATGTCAAAATTGTATAGACCTGTGACCTCTTTCGTAACAAAAGTATGTTGCAAATTGATTTATTATGTAGTATATGTTATTATACATAATCATATAATAACTTTTCATTTATTTCTATTTAATTTAATTTTATAACATATATACTTTACCATAAATAGATTAGCAACATACTTTTAAGAGTGTAATGAATTTCCGGTTCAAACTTCTAATATGTTAACCATCTTTGAATACATTAAGTATAGAGTTATGTTACATTAATTAAAAAATAAACTTACTTGAAGTCAGATGAAGAAAGGCAACTAATCATACACTCCATAAATAGTAGATACGGTAGTCATTATTGAATTCATTTGACAAAGTTTAACAAATGTAGGATTGTATAATAGAAAATTGTAGATATTTCACAATTTTGAAGTAATAAACAATGTTAACACAAACGTGCACAGTGATTTCGATATTTCTAATATTTATTTAATAATTCATAAAGTATTTTAAATTGTTTCTGCCATGTAGACACTAAGAGAACCTCTTTTTAGCAAGCCTATTATGGATTCGACCGGGCCCATAATGGAGCAGCCGGGGGAACCCGATATATCCGAACGGATCACACCGAAAAATTTCTAGAGTTTTAAGATCCGAGTTCTCCAGATCTAGGCTTTCACATTCCCGGTTTGACATTGTGAAAACAATGTCAAACCGGGATAAGAGGCGACGGAAGTACCCCTCGCCTATCCGCGTTGCAATTCGACATACTGTACTTATTTCACGCAACACAAGATTCGGTAATTAGACGAGAAAACAGAAAACAATACGCATTCATAAAAAAATAGTTAGCCACTAACCGACTCAAGACACGTGGTGTGCTGTCTTTGCTCTTATTTGACAGATTTGGAAATCTGTAGGATTCATTGGAAATAGGAATGGGGAACTGACAGAAGTGCAGCCACCACGCTGGAGTTTTTTTTTTTTTGTGGTTTTAGGCCCTTTACCGCTCAGAGAGCACAAAGACGCCAAGCCACGCTGGAGTTGGACGTCAAAGTCCAGCCACTTTACAACCACCTTTCTTGATTTAGAGTGCTTCCGAAAATTGCTCTTCTGTATCTCCAATTAATTTGCATACATTTTTGGTGCCTTTCCTCTAATCGGAATAAAATTACAAACTCAATCATCATCCTGAAGTCGTCTGGCAAGTTACACAGAGCGGTAAGCTGCCACTTTAACCTCTCGGCCATCAATTAATACAAATAATATCCAGTGGACAAGGAAGAACCACATCTCCCTATAACAGACCTTCGTGTAAAAGGAAAAAAAGATTTTTACCAAGGTTCTTTTTTTTGGTGTTTTGATTTTTTTTGTTTTAATCCCCGCAAGATGTCAGAAACATTGATTTTAGAAAAGAAATCACCGAGGCCGCCAGCAGGATACAAAGCCTTAACGGGCTTGCGTGTCGCCATTTTGCGATTCCTGATCTAAATCAAAAAGTAAATTCATTACATTTGTAACGTAAGATAACCTTTCACTTAAAATTTCGATGTCGACATCGATAAGATCGGCATAATTTACGAAATAATTCACTATTTTGGAATCTTATCGAAGGAAATAAGTCTAGGACATGTTTTCCTGCCACTTGCGAAAATTATCGTCCGAAATTCGACTTCAAAAGTGACGTAAAGCAGCTTTATAGTACCATTTCCCATGGCGACTTTAGTCGTGCTAGCAGAAAACACGGCAAAAACTAGAGATTTTTTCATTTAATAATTGTTATAGCCACTACACGTCGTTATAAAACATTTTACGGTTAAAACTATTCATTACCGGTTTGTTTTATTTCCATTCGTATCGTTAAATCACTTCGTCTGGTCGCCGTAGCGTACGTAATTACGTCAATTTGACGTCACTTCTTCGATTTTATAACGATTAACCTTAAAAATTGACATCAAAATGACGTATGGAAACAAAACAATCGTCTGTTTCATAGTTTGGTCGTAGGCCGCTTTGGCGCGCCGATCGCCTCCGACCGACGATCGGAAATGAATGGTTGAAGGCATCAAACTCTTTCGAATTCGAATCGTCGCCAGACGAGACAATAACTTTTGTCGGCTTTGAATCGGCAGACGTAATCAGTTTAATTCGTTTTATTTCCTCTCCGTTCCCAGACTACGTCCGATCGTCCGTTTCTGCATCCATTTCTCTATAAAGTGCGGGTAAGAAACATTTATTTATTTTTTTTTACCATGAAAAAGTAAGATTGAAATTAAGAAAATGTCGCCAACTTTTTTTTTTATCACGTATTGTGTATGACAATAGGACTTGTAACGTAAACAATTTAGTAATCGGGAGAAAATTTTCCTCCTTCGATAAATTACCATTAATAATTCGCATAAAAATTTAATAAAATCTACTTTCTTGTCAGTTTTGTATTATAAAGAAATTTTGGCAAAAGTTACTTTCGATTTTAGGTTATTTGTATGTGCATACTGGACATATGTAAATAAATGACCTAAAAGTAATTTGTACCCCGATAATGCTGTGTTTAATTAATTTAAAAAGGTAAGATGTGTACTCTGAATCAGGATATCACACCCCATGAATTATAGACCCCTATATGAACCACGTGTAGTTGTGCACTTTGGTGCTTGCTATCATTTGCACCTTAATGCCCATATATATAGTTTTAGGGGAGTGGGGGGCATGCCCCCACACTCCCCTAAAACTATATAATGTCGAGTACTCCATAAATGGTCGAGTGGGCTACTCTTAGCCGGCATAGTCACGTGGGCTAAATAGTAACGCGGTAGTCTTGGCACAGTTACGCGACTCCTGATTGCTTGCAATCCGGCCGATTTTGATGGACTGCATTTTGCTGAGGATTATGTGTAGAGGTGTGGTTCCCGAATGAGACTGTTGGGACCTTTCAGAGCTGTAGACAATACTTGTAGGAACAAAAAAGTCAAAGGAACCACTTTGACTGTTTTGCTCCTATGGATATGGTCTACAGCTCTTGTAAGGTCCCAACCATCTCATTTAGAGGTGTGATTGTACCATTTAAAAGCATAATACATCTTATATAACACAAAATTAATTATTAAATATGATATTCAATCATTTGATGCATTAAACACAGTTTCCACTTTTTTTTTATTATTATTTTCCCATTCAACTAGTGTTATGTAGTAAAAAATTTGAGTTTATACTTGTTTTTCTTATTTCTTGTGCAAGATATGCTCATTGTTGTCTGTTCAGATTAACTTCTATCACTGACAATGTAGAGCGTTTGGGTTAATTTTCGTTTAGATACTAGAAATGGGCCATTAAGTAATGTCCCCATTTTGTGTTCAAGCATTGACTTTAGGATTGTCATCTTAATAAAATATAAAATTCAGATCCTTTAAATTTTGAATCTGTAAAATATTTATAATTAAAATGATCGTTGTAAACTGCAGAGCGCTCTCTTAAGATGACAAGTCCAAAAACTTTTGATCTGGATATTGTATTTTTAAGCTTTTTACATAAAGAAAATTCTCTTTATATGATTCCAAGGCAGTAATAAAATTTTTTATTTTGAATACAGTAAAACCATTAAATTATGTTCTATTGTTATAAAGTTGTGCAATTTGTTCAACTTTTTTTGATTTCTGAACTAACAAGCTATTATGGAATTTCTCCTGGTTTTTTGACTTTTCCTATTGCAGAACATTTGACGGCATTATCCTTTTTACATAAAATTACATATAAAAGAATAATACAACTAAGATAATTAATCTTAGTTGTATCATCCTTTTATATGTAATAAAAGCACTAAGCTCTAAGGGTCAGCAACTTAATGGTTCATATTCTATAGAAGGTTACGGATAATTTTAATCTTTACAATTTTGATGTTGACATAGTGCATTCATTTTGCTATTACTGACATAAAATTTTAGATTGTAATTCTTAATTTTGTATACAAATTAGTTTTAGTTGAGAGAACTGAAAAGATTGAATGAATAATGATTCGTAACTTTTTCGTCTGATGGTTCTTTTTATTTTTTAATATTTGAAGACAAGTTCACCCGAATAGGGATCACCATTTTTTATTTTTGCGTTCTAGACAGTACATTTCTGGCAACCGACCTTCCTTTCTAGGCTACTAGTCGGCAAAAAGTTTAAAAAAATCCTTTTTAAAAACAAAAAAAAAATTCCAATTAAAAACACAAAGATTTTCTAAAATCAGAACTGGTGTTATACGAACGTCTTCCTTGTTACCATCTGTACTTTCTCGAGGGTGTCTAGAACGCAAAAATAAAAAATGGTGATTCCTATTTGGGCAAACTTGTCTTCAAATATTAATGAATAATGATTATTAAAATATTTTTTGGGATAAGAGAGATGAAGAGTTGTAAGAAAAATAAAATTGAGAATTCTTTTTTGAAATAAATTCAAATAAAAATGGATAAAAATAACAATATTTCTAAAAATTTAAAAGATGAAATATAGAAAAATGCCTTTGAGCTAAAACATTCAAATTAGCACTGATTCCGAGATAACAAATTTTATATTTAAAATTTTTAGAAATATAGTTACTTTTATCCATTTTAACTAAATAACTGATCCTGCTGAATAATTTATTATTAAATTTTAACTAAAAAGTAAAAATATAGCCTATAATTACTGTGACATAACAAATAACAATGATATGTTAGAATATAAATTGGAATAGAAAAGTATTTTTTTCTATTTAAATTTATATTACATTGTAGCATTGGAATCATGTAATCAATATATATTTTTTTTAATAGAAAATTAAAATTACCTATATAAAGATCTTTCTGCAAAACAGATTCTGAATAAGAAACTGTGCTTGACAGATATACAGTAATATCATTTTTTTTAAGGTTTTCTCTCTTAATACAAACACACTTAAAATTTATTTCTTCTGTATTTATATATTTAATTAGCCATTCATACTGAACACACAACTACAACACTAAACCAAAATTGATTTTTTGTATTTTATGTTTAGTTTCAATGTCGTATCATAGTTTATAGTGTTTATAACAACAATTATAGTTTCTTTATTATAAGAATTTTATATATTTAAAAGCTGCTGTATTATCTTCTAGGTGATGATTTCTGATTTGATTAGTTTCTGGATGTTCTTCTATGACAGTGTTTCTCAAGGGGGGCAATATCGCCCCCATGTGGGCATTTTTCCATGTTGAGGGGGGCGATTAGTAACAATTTATATTTTGGGGGGCTAAAAACAATTTTCTGGGCGATATAGTAAAACATTATATTAATAATAATTAGATATTTTATTGGTTATATCGTACAATAATTAAACAAATAACATTGTACTAATCACTAGTCTATTCAATGCAGTACACATTTGGCGTTAGTCTTGTCCCTCGACATCGGAATTTTGTAGTGAGGGGGCGATGATTCGTTAGAGGCTGAGAAACACTGTTCTATGACTCTTTTCCAAGGTCTATTCTGGAAATTTATTATATCATCTGTTTTAACACAATAGTCTATAAATATTGAATTTTGATCAGTTAAATGACTAAAGTATAATTACTGGATTTTGACTTATACAATGATTTTTTTAATGATCTATCATATAATTTGAGAATCTATAAAATAAATAATACCTAATCAATAAACTTCTTAGCAAATACTGGAGGAAATATAATTCATCCCACACAACCTTTTGAAACTCCAGTAATACATGTTTACAAAACATCAAACGTTTTTGACCCTATCAGGGTCTTCCTTGTCTAGGTCTATTACTGGAGTTTCAAAAGGTTTTGTGTGATGAATTATAAATAAGTATTTATTAAGTATTTATGTGTATTTATTAAGTATATAACTTAATGAAATTTGAAAAGTTAATTAAAATGTTACTACATATTAGTTACTTGACCTCATACTAATATAATTCTATACATTTAAAAAAAATCTCAACTATTATTAGAATAATTAACTTAACTGATAAAATGAAATTTCTGTTAAATATAAAAAAAAATCTCATTAATGGAATAATGTCTCTCATCTTTAATGCTAATTCTTGAGCTTTTCTTCTGTTTGATATTTTCTTTACCAAATTTATTACTAGGTTTTGTAAATTATGAAAACTGGCTTCTTCAAATTTTTATTTTTCACATTATAATTACAAACACAACAAAATATTTTTATTTATTATAAAAATTTGACCAAAACACAATAATAAAAATTGTTGACTTTTGAATACTTTGACATGCATTTAATAGTTAAGACTTTGTCACCAGATTTTATGTTTTTTAATTGAATTTGTCAATATTATTTAGCTTTTATCAAAACTAAATATTTAAATTTACTCACTGTTGAAAATAAATGAATTATATCACCCTTTAATATTAACAACAATGATGTATTAAAAAGATTAATAAAAAGATAAAAATTATAATTTCCTTTTTACTATGATGCAAAATATAATTGCAGTATTATTCTAAATAAGTTAAATTTAAAGGAAATGCAAAATTTATTATGATGCATTAGGTTTTCTTGGCAGGTTTTCATTCAAAGTTTAAAATAATTTTTTTTTTTTTTTTGTATAAATGGCCTTGTTCTATAACTTTTCAGTTTGAATTTCTACTCATCTGAAATGGTTAAAAGTTAGTGATTGTTTGACCTCTAAAAATTAGGTCAAAGTTATTAGGATAGTCATTGGATTTGACACTGTTGTCAAAATTCAATGACTACCTTATTGACAAGTTTATCTTTCCAGTGATCTTAACATGTGTAATTTTCTGCTATTTTTGGAGACAAAAATGAAAAATACCTCTTAATCCCAAGTATTTTCTATTTTTGCCTCTCTGATGATGGACTGAGAGATCTGAACATGAGATTGAGAGTTTTCACTTTTGGTCTCCAATAAAACAGAAAAGTGTAAATCTAGCTTATTGGTTTAATACATTATTTATTACATATTATATATATGTATGCATATATAAAAGTTATATATATAATTAAGGTTATAAGGTTAATTATATATAATTATATATTATGCATATGTTATTCAGTACATAAATATAAACTTGTATATATACAGAAGGTATGTAATATCAAGGATTCCGTATAACTATACTGTACACTTGCACTTTTGACTTTATATATCATTAAAATTTATAGATTTCAAAAGAATTCAGAACATACTTATGTATATTTGCAATGAGTAAACATAAAT